AGACCTCCAATGCAAAGACCCTCCGCAACTCATCCCAAGACAACCTGCGGACAGCAGCCGCACAAACAAACTGAGTCCACTCAAGAACTAAGAGCAATCATGTTTGTTGACTGAGCTTAGGCAGCACTGCACTCTACACTACAAGCCTGCCAAACATAGTTGTTTCAATTCATGTCACACACCTGGACATCAACCCAATACCAAGGCATGTTGTTTTTGAAATAAAATCAAGATAATTGGGCCAGTGCCATATGCACCAATGCCTCCACTGCAAGTGTCGAAAACATGCCCGTGGACGCCGTGGCTCGAGAAATATGAGAACCTCACCTCCCAAGTCCGACCAAGCCCCTTCTTTGTGCGCCTGGATGCGTCTGCATCCATATCTTGACCATCTACTGTGATGTGAGCCAAATCCTGAAGCAAACCCGGTCTTTGGGCTTCTCCGGCGTTGAAACGTGCTGATGGGGGCTGAGTTTGAACCACCAAAAGGATTCTGTCCATTGCATACCCTTCCACCTTTGGTTGGACAAAACACTCCCCAAGAACTACGGCTAGGAACTGCTCACTCTACCTTTGCTTCGCCACTGCCACCTGGCTGGGATTCCCTGAAATTTAATGTAAAACTCAGCCACTGAAATTACAATTATATAAGCTGCAGTGAAAATGGTCTGAATGTGGGAAGAGGTCGAGTAGCACTGCATGTGGCGCAAAAAAACTACGAAAAAGACTCAGAGACATTCAGAGACTTGACAGTGGCATGCCGAATCGTGCTGATCTTTCTGCTGCCGTATGCCATTCACCCATAGACGCCATAGCCGCGCCAAAGCGACCCTTTGATTTCCAAGTGGCGGTTTTCACCTGCTGTCTCTGGCAAATCTTCTCCTGGGACAGGTGATGCGACTGTCAGTTTCAAGATGATCAAGTTAATTATGAGACCCGCAAAGAAGTGCATTCTTGTGAGCAGTGGTAAGAGAGAGGTACAGAAGCAACAGGACGAGAAGCTTAACTTAGGGCAAAAAACATAGAAAAGAAACAATCTATAATAAAGGACGCACTCTCTCTCTGTCTCTCTCTCTCTCTCTCCCTCTCTCTCACTGGCGGGCATGACTCGTCCCGGAGTCGTCTCACAGAGACGCCCAAGTGCAACTTCCAAAGGCTGGAGAGCAAGGGGTTGAGAAATAGCTTCCCTAGTAGCTTCTTGTTACCAGTAGATGGCCTCCAACCTACTAGAGATGGCCTCCACCCTAGTAGCGATGGCAAACCGGAACGAACATGGGAGGCTAAGAGCGAAAATGCAAACATCTGCCGTAGCAAATATCTTTTTATTATCTGATGTTTCGAGGTCCGATTCCGAGCAAACTCACTGCCACCAGCTGCCTTGGCCTGTCATGCCCCAACTGGGATGTACACCAGCTTATCGGATTTGGTGACACTTACAAGCAGCGGAAGCCGCCCCCTCTCACTTGCAAAGCACAGCAAGCCCTCAGTCCTCTAGGGTTCCACCCAAGACAAAACGATAGATGTAGCAGGGCTTTGTCTGCCCTTCTCGCCAAATTCGGGCCATGGCCTGCATCTGCTCCGGAGAAACAATGATGGTTTTCTCTGACTAAACGTTCATCCATGGCTTTGTCATGTTGAACACTTTTGGCCATGTAAGCACTCCAGGTCTGCCAATAGCACTGAAATGCTCTTGTATCAAGTGAGATTGGTCTTCGACAAGGCAAGCTTAGCGAGATTTCCGTACCCCTCAGAGAGCCAGGTCAATGTATTGCCAGGGCTACTGTACCATGTTGCCTGAGCATCATTGGCAGGATTCCAATCCTCAGCGGCGCTTTTACCAGGATGCAGAGTTTGGGTTCATGCTCCTGATTATATACTGTAGTTAGAGTAAAAATTTGGAAGAATAGGTCCAAAACATGGACGCACGGATGGGTAGTAAGTTCGCATCATGGCTACCCAACCCCTTCTCAAGCCTTTTCCTTTTTTATCCTTCATCCAAGGGACAGGATCGAAGAGCACTAGCCGATTGGCACCAATGAGATTTAAACCAGTGCCCCCGGCTTTGGAAGACAAAAGAAGCAAGTCCTGAGGGACAATGAGCAAGGCAAAGAAACAAAGAAACAAAACACAAAAGGCTGCTCTTCATCACATCTTCGAATCATTTAAGAGCCTTCAACAAAGGACTCTGCTTGCAAGCTCTTGTGCAGGGCTAGTCCTCGAAAATGAACTGACTGTTGTGTGTTTGTTGGTTGGAATTGGGGATTCTATGCCTGGTTGTGCAACGAAAGCATTGAAACATAGTACAATTGTAATAATATAGTGCAATGATGAGTGGCAGTTCCTTCTGTTCCAGGAGTGTTCCTCGGTGAGAATGGAGACGCAAAATCTGCCAAATGTCTTGGACTCAAGTCCAGTGGAACAAGAATTGAAACCTGCCTATGCCTCCAGCTTTGTTGTTCTGACAGGTTCCACAACAGCGCAGGCAAGAGTTGTGATTCTCAGCCACTTTGGCTCCTATCCTATTTTGGACTGTCTGAACCAAAATTTGGAGAAAGAAGAACTTCTCGATGACAACCCTTAAAAAAAGAACGCTCAGCCGTGTCACAAAGCTTCGACGGCTTGCATCCGCTTGGCAGGTGGCGTGTCCCCCGAGAGCAACACCGACTTGCAAGTGACTAGACGCTGCAACCGCTTCAAAGTTCGAGAAAAGTTGCCTGGGAACGGCTCAAACAACATCAGGGAACAGTTGGGGTCTGAAGCTTCAGAGGAATCCGGCTTCATTCTGGGGCGGTGTTTGGCCTTGCGCAATCAAAAGCGCAAAGAATCTCACAAATGCTTTTGCAGCCACGGTGCTGACCACCACGACACGATCGTTTGGCGCATGTTGGTGCCAATGCTGCAGGAGCGCCAGTAGGGCCAAAGATTTGGCACTCAAGCCACTGAAATACTGCGAGTTGATGGAAGCTCACTTGACAAGACAGTTTCATTTTTAATATATGGGATGCAATCAAGGAAGTTTAGCCATGAGCCCCTGTGCAAACTGAAAGTGGGAAAGACTGCATTCCTATGTAGGATTGAATGCCAGTCACTGCTACACTGTTCTTTTCCTTCTCATTGGTTGATTTCAACAAACATGCTCAGTCCTCAAGGATCTCCTTCACCGCCACAGGCACTACATTGGCATCAGCACCCTGAGCACCACGTGTGAACAAATGAACAAAAGGGTGCTACCAAAGCGCCCAGGCGGATTGGAACCCCACTGTGGCCGCTCAAGGAAGTGCCCGTGGCCAATTCAAGACTGAAAGCGATTGAGAAACCAAGCGTTTTTTTCAAAGCGGTTAGCAAACATTGTTACTAGTAGTAAGGCACCTGTTACTACTAGCGATGCACTTGTTACTACTAGCTTCCTTTTAAGCCCGGTGGGGGCGAGGGGTAGGCCGCTGGTGAGGTACGTAGGTAGCTAGATAGCTAGAAGCTAGGGAGTCGTTAGTAGCTTAGCTTAAGTAGCTTCTTAGGACGCAGGATAGTTCACGCTCGCACTATTCATTTGGCTCCTAGATTTTGAGGGAACGAGCACAGAGGCGCTATATAAGGTCATTTCACTGGGATGTTTCAAGGGATGATGCAGGTAATCACAACCCATCATAATGCGTGCAATCTGCATTTTAGGCCCATGGCCCATAGCCCTTTTCTTGCAGAACCTAACGGTGGTAGAGTGGGCTACAGAACGTAGCCTGCCCAACTATTAAAGTTCCGCACATAGAACAGCCACGCTGCTCAAAAGATTGGAGGATGACTGTGGCAAGTCCCGGGGTTGACTTCAGGGGCGGTCTTGAAGCAAATAGGCTTGCTCTGGCATCTGGCAGCCAGACAAAAAAACACAAACTTGTCATCAGCGTGGTCAGGGCCAGAGGCAGTTCAAAGACCTTCAATGAATTTCGTGTCCGACTGCTCTGTTGCAGCTGGAGCACAACAATCTGATTTACTTCTGCTGTGTTCTGGCTACATTGTAAGATGATGTAAAACGCATTGGCAGGACCGCCCGACAATCTGCTGCGCGCACTGAAAAAAGAAGAGAGGTGCCCAATGCTATCGTTGTTGGATTTAGCCAAATGCCCACAGAAGTGATGCAAACAGTTCAGAATCACGCACACAAACATCGCTATTGGGTTGGAGGCCATCGCTGGTAGATTGGAGTAGGTTAGTCTCCTCTGATTTCAACACCTGTCTTCCGCCACGTGGCATCTTCTTTGGCCTTGCTCTTCTTGGAATCGGCCGAGCCATCCTCAGCGGTCATCTGCCATGCTTTTAAACTACTTTAAACCTCTTAGCGTACTGGCACTGCGGCCGAACGAGGCAACCATCCCATTCTCAGCTCAACTGACTAGAAAAGGCAACGCGCAGGTAGTCCTAAAGCAGTGCAAAATCAGAGCATCAAACAGGAATTGTTTGCCTCTGCCGAACTCGTGGCACTGCTATGCCCACTCTCATTTTTCGCTGCTGGCCGCTCCCAGCAAGCAATTTGTAAAAATGCTAGTTGTATCATTTATCTGTGCACTTCGTGCCGCGAATATGATGGTCGTGGCCAGGCCGGCAACAACCTCCAAAGAGATATGTTCGAAAACGCTCGGGTTCGGAGTTCGGAGACGAATCACCATTTTGGTGCATCCTTGGCTCTGCATGCTCTAACAGCCGATGTTACCTGCAGCCCGGTCTCATGTAGGAGATCTCCGGGATCATTGCAAAGAAGTCGCAAAGCCATCATGACCCTCAGAAGGGTGGCGTAGTGGCAACATGAAGCTGCAGCTGAGTTGAAACAGCGCTGTGACTTCTCTACAGGTCTAGCTGGGTGAAGCCCACCCTGAGTTGGACTAACAGACCCAAGTATCAGTGTGAACAGTCATATAACACATGCCGCCATACCACACAAAATGCAACAAGCACAATAAGAGTCTCCAGAGCACTACCTTCACTAACTGGAATTGGAAAGGTCTCACCACCCTTGGCATCCACACTTCAAAGCCTTGGCCATGCTGTGCGGTCCACAATGCAGGTCATTGAGGAGGGCTTGGTAGGCAGCAACCTGCAAAGACAAACAATCAATGCAGGCCAGTCCAAACATATTGCTTCTCTCAACACTGTGGGGTGTGGTTCTGAACAATATAACTACAAGGGTCCATCTGAGCTGGTGAAGTAGCCACAAGTGTATCCGATCCCCCGGTGCAGCGTCGTTGCCTGTACTGGAGCCAGGCGAAGTCGGAGAACGATCTCAGGGCAGCAAACGTGGTCGGGCTGAGGCAAAAAAAAAGACCATAGTGTGTTCTGCTCAGAAGGTGGTCCATTATTATTGTTATTCTCCATTACTGACATATAGCTGAAAGAAACGTGGAGTGTCTTTGCTGGTGAACTCCCACGTACCGAGCCCAACTGAGCTCCAGCTACGCACCTCCACACGTGGCGGCAAATTGAAGTTCACCATCTCCATCGTGCGTCGCAGCAAGAATTGCAAAGTCTTCTGCTCAAGCCTTAGAGTTTTGGGAGCAAATCACATGCACATCTTTCCCCGAAGGAACTTCATAGGAATACCGGAATACCCAAAACTCCGTGTTCAAGCTGTGGGTTGTTTCAGGATGTTGAAACTCGACTGGAAAGAACAACATGCACAAGACGGCTTTAGCATCTTTAGCGTGCTGCAAATAGCAAGAAGGACAACGAGGCCATGGAGGCCATCACCATTAGGTTGGAGGCCATTGCTCCTGGATTAGGTTCAATGCCAGGTGGCTCACGTGTGACCTGCTGCCCCAATGCCTTTTCTTCAGGTGTGGCTAGCGGCTCACGTGCACATTGCACAGCCCAGGCCGCTGCTTTCGGGGCCATGTAGCCAGGGCTTTGTGGGGCAAAGAGATCAGGACCTCAGATCTCCACAATTCTCCCAGACCCGAAGGGACTTCCATAAGTCAAAAAAAGAGAAAGACCATGAAAGACCGGCATATACAAAGATCAAAACAGGAAGAAAAAACAGAAAAACAAGTCTAAAGAAAAACTCGTTGTGCATCTTTGTGCACATTGGAGCCGTCTTCAGCTTGCATGGGAACTGCGGCAAGGCACGGACAAAACGACCGCAGTGAAAGAGCTCCTGACCAGCAATCTACAGAACCCGCCGGCGTTGCTTTCAGCTTTGCCAACCCATCAAATCAAGGGGGAAAACAGTAACGTCGCCTACACATTCCTGGAAAACATCATTGGTATGGCCTCCAAGTCATTCTGCAAAGGCGTTCCGCTCAAAAGGATCCGCCGGCGACATCGCATCTGCCCCAGTGTTTTGGAGGTCGCCGTACCCTGCGATCCTCAAAGATCCAAAGGCCGAATGTTGGCTATGCAGGACATACCATATCGCTCACAACCACTCGGACCTTTAGTCTGTACACATGCCTGTCTCAAAACCACTGAGTGGAGAAAAATGAAGAAAGCACTCTATGGCCCAACTCCATTTTGGATGATGGCCCCGGAAACTTCAGGTTCGAACTTTGGTAAGGGCGATGCCCAATTGACTAGCTTCCTTTCATTTGGTCAACCTATGACATCCAACGATTGCCAAGGACTTCTTGTCCAGCAATTGATCCGAGGCTCTCAACCGATGACCTTCATCGCAAATCAACAGGTCGCAAACATCATCCACGAGCTGGACATGTCTCCGAAGCCTTGAAGGAACTTGATCAAGTTCCATGAATCGGAAAAATCATCCATTGCTTGTAGGTTGGAGGCCATCGCTAGTAGGTTTTCCTTTCTTCTTTATCCTGAAGATTCTCTAACGGACGGCAAGCAACTGATCATAGGAGATGACCAAAAGCCTTCGAGATGCAAAGTCTCGGAATTCACGGATTTGGCTGAGAATCTTCCTCAGTGGCCGGGGACAAATTTTGCAACCCCCCCCCCCCCCCCCCAAAAAAGGTATGTCAACATAGTGGTGCATGGTTCTCATGTGCGTCATTTCAATTCCCGACGATCTGCCCCTTGGCTCCAGCCCAGTGAGCTCAAATGAAATCGGCCCTCTTCTCGTTTCTCTACTTAGATTGGGTGGTTTCATAAACTGTGCGTCTTCTGCCAGCCACATCAACCAAGCTTCTCTTTCCCGCTTTCGATCACCGTTGGTTTCAAGCGCTTGTCACCCAACCACTTCTTCACCTTGGGTGCCACGTGGACTGCGGCTTTTGATGCTACACTAAGCTAAGCAACGAAGCAAGCTATATCTGCAAACGCGGCAGCCTAATCTTTTGTCACGCACGCTTGTACAAGCGATGTGCTCCGAGTAGCTTCCGCACGCCAATTCCCACAAAGAGAGGACGGGCAAACAATAATGGCCTGATGCGAGAAGCTACTAGTAACGAAGGGAATCGCTACTTACTAGGAGCAAGGACGCTACTAAGGGCTCCTGGCCTTACTAGAACAAAGAAGCTACTAGGGGCTCCTGGCCTTGCTACTAGGAGCAAGGACGCTACTAGGGGCTCCTGGTCTTACTACTAGTAAGAAAAAGCTACTAGTAACAAATTGGCCTGATGCCGGCACAGATCGCCGCTTTTGGGAATTGGAGAATGCCGAAAGCATGCGTCTGGTTTAGTGACGCGTAAGACCTGGCTGGAAGAGTGTAAAGAGAAATCGCTGCTTCATGTTGTTTCCAAGAAGCCCTGCCACTACCGAGACCCAGGGTTCCTGTCGAACAAAGCCTAATCCGGGTAGACATGTGTGCTTCTGATCCAGCCTTCCGCAAGAGGTTGTTGGAGAGCACAGCCCATAGCAATGCCAAGGCTTGCAACGACTTTCCAAGACCCATCCTCGAATCGCAGGAAAGCAAGCCCGCAGCCTGTCCATGGTGATAGCAGTGAGTTCCTGTAATTGTCTAGCCATTTGGTGCTCAGTCAATGCTCTGACTCTTCCACTGAGATACTTCCACGACTTGACAAAGGGATGAAAATATGGGAGCACTTCCGCTCTACAAATCTCAGAACAAACAAACGAAAAAACATGAAAAACGTTGACAGGAAGGGATTGTCCGCATGGGCACCCTTTTGGCAACTGCTCCATACTGTACCCAAGGCGCGTGTCTGCCAGGATGCACCCACGATTCTTGGCGATGGCGTCATACCTCCAGTCTCAGGTGATGGTCAAGAGTGCAAAGCACCCCCCCCTTAAACATTCAATACATACAAGTGCGCGCAAGTGCTGAACCTGACCATACTCGACTCATTGGCCAAACGCCCGCCAATCTTAAAGTGCAGCCAGTCACATAAAGCGTACACCCTCTTTCTGGTGCTCTCGCAATTTCTTGGCCACGAAGGCCTCCAGCAAGACTGGCCCCTCGCCCCGGGCTTGCACCGCAGACTGGTTCCTCGCAGCAGGAAATCTCCGACACGGGCCTTTAGATTGCATGGCATAGACCCCAGTTCATTCACACACAGTACCTATTGTTAAAAGGCTTGTAAGGTAAGTATCGATCAAGGTCTGGAACTACCCTCACACTGGTAGCCTTTGTTTGTTGCAAACCAGTTTGCATTAACTTGAGAGGAGGGAGACACGAAAGGTAGGACAGCGGGAAGAGAAGAGAACGCGAGAGGCAGGAACAAAAATGCAATGTTCGACATGGTGATTTATCCCCTCGGAGGCGACCTTTCGTACATATATGTTCATATGCACTTTAAATGTTGAAACATGTGCTCTTGAAATGTTCAAAAAGATTCTTAGGAAAACAAACTTGCCCCATGGCTCAGATCATCGGTGGGCATTGAATCGGAACATCATAGGATTTGAACTATCCTGAAACCATAAGAGGCTCACGAAGACGCTCCCCAGGAGAGAATTGACGTGCTTCACAGAACACCTTTCGTGATTAGAATTTCATATTCACTCTTTCTGAATGTTCAAGAGGGTTTCAACTATCCTGAAATCATGAGAGGCTCACGAAGACGATCTCCAGGAGAGAATTGATTTTAGAGGGGGGGAGGGGGGGGGGGG